ACTAATTTGAAATATATATTTGTACATTTAGATTATACGCGTGATAAGGAAGCCACCTGACTACGTCGGAAATTTGGCACTACTGCTCGACCTCCCCGGTCGGAGACCTAGAGGCAGACCCAAGACAAGGTGGAGGGACGTAGTGCTGAAGGACAAGAGAGAATGCAATGTTGCTGACGAGGATGTCGAAGACAGAGCGAAGTGGAGGAGTAAAGTCAGGAAAGCTGACCCCACCACCATGTGGGATAAATAGCTGGGAAGAGAGAGAGAGAGAGAGATTATACGCGTTTGTGCATCAATCATACGATAGCACTGTTTTTTAAACCAGTAATACATATCCTTGGCTTCATTGAACTCCATAGAGGATAATTACAACCGGTTTGTGCATTTAATTGTCTGCCTATCTGGTAGCTATTTCATGGATTGATTACTTCACATCTTTATTTGTGCGATTACCACAATTTATCTCAGAGTAATGCTTATAAAACAGAAATAGAAACTTTATGTATCTCTTTTGGACTATAATTTGCTGTATAATAAACAAGAAAAGTCTAAAGCTACCGGCTTAAGTATCGCAAACACTTTACAGACAAATCCGATGTTTGGTTGTGCGATGCTTAATAAATATTATATTTTTTTCGGAAATTAATGTATCGTCTTCAAAAGAAAACAATCAATTATGTATTATTACAGCTCTGTATTGGGTTTATTGACCGAGAGCGATAGTAACTTTTTAAATTACCTAGTCAAACTAAATGTCTGATATTCACATCTCGAGTGTAAAGTTTTGAAATTATTAACATTTTTCGCAAAGAAACATGTAGGAGAAAATCAAATAACCCTGAAATTCACCATCTCGTCGAATAGAACTAATATGAATAATACACGCATTGAATTAGCCTTACTGTAGTCAACCGAGATGTTGAAACTACACCATAAGCGTATAACCAGATTGTGTTTCGCAACGATAACTTAAATATCCCAAGCCCCCGTTGAGGCTGAACCTTGAATAACGATATCGAATATAAATTCATTTAAGTTCATTTGAAGGCCTATGCGAAAGCAAAATAATCTTAGCAGATCTCAAATGAAAAGAAAAAAAAAAGAATAGTATGTACCTAAATATGAATTAAGGTTGTTAATAAAGGCTTCTTTATTTAAGTTCATTTGAGCCTAAACATTCTGGGCGGGTAGTCTGTACTTGAAATAGTTTTTTTCCTACTATTACTTATAGCCTTGAGAGGCTATATCAGCGTTACCCTACCGTGTAGGTAAGCCCTCGGGGCTCAAACCGGAGGCGTTACTAACATTAGCCCTAGCAATAGCAGCGCTTCGCAGAATCTACCACCGAATCGGAAACGCGACCCACTGAGAAGATCCGGCGAGAAACTCAGTGGGCTATAGTTTGTAATGAAGAGGCGTTGGTAGTATATTAAAAGATTTTTTTTTTTTTTTATTGCTTAGATGGGTGGGCGAGCTCACAGCCCACCTGGTGTTAAGTGGTTACCGGAGCCCATAGACATCTACAACGTAAATGCGCCACACACCTTGAGATATAGTTCTAAGGTCTCAGTATTGTCACAACGGCTGCCCCACCCTTCAAACCGAAACGCATTACTGCTTCACGGCAGAAATAGGCGGGGCGGTGGTACCTACCCGTGCGGACTTACAAGAGGTCCTACCACCAGTAGAACCACCTCTTTTACGTAGTAACACCTCTTTTTGTTTGAGACCCTTTATTTACACAGACACTAGACGAACACACAGTTCGAGTAATTTCTCCACAATTCTTACTATGAGTAATATATTATTAATTAATAGGTTTGTGAATTAAATCTTTGGTATAATATTGTCAAGTCCACTGAATTTCTCGCTTGGGATCTTCTCAGTGGGTTGCGATTAAGATCCATTAGTAGATTCTGCGAAGCACTGCTCTTGCTAGGGCTAGTGTTAGCAAATTCTCTCATTTTGAGCCCGTGAGCTCACCTACCCGTCCGGGCGGACGGACTGGAATAGCCCCCCAGGTTACCAGTTAATAGGCAGATAAAAAACAAACTAATTCGACGCCATATTATGTCAAGCGGCTTTGGTAACAAAATGACCAGCAACTAAAACTACGCTAAAGAGGTAACCGCGACTTGTAGCCTATTTGACAAGCCGTGTCAAAGTTTCTGAATCTCAAACACATTATTATATATACTAGTGGTCCCGCAGTAGTCGAAATTCGACTATAATTAATTGAAATTGTAAGTTTGTACACTATTATGATTCTATTTTCAAAGATACTTCTATAATCGCAAATTACGCCAAGACTACACTTTAGGAAAATATTAATAAAGACAAACAATATTTAATCTATTCTCAATTTGACCACAGACTTCAAGAACAAAAGTTTGACAATAAATAAACAGTAAGCATGCGTGAGTGCGTCAAATACATGGTAGTGTGTGTAATGTTTTTTTAATTGATTTAATGTCTTTTTAGGCATAATTTAAAAAAATATTAACATTCTGCACTCCTTCTCTATATTCTCTACAAGTGTAGGAAATTTCATACTCCTCCGTCCGCGCAATTTTCGTAAAAAGGGATACAAAGGAAGGGTAACGTATTAATATCAAACACATTATTATATATATTTGTAAAGTTCAAAATTAATATTCCGTTTAAAACGAATTAAAATTCCAATAAAATATACACGTTATTTTGAATATGTAGTTTAATTTTAACAGTGATAGCACGTAAAGAAATGTAGTTGGCACGCCACAGTACAACTAGTAACAAGATATTTTAGCGAATGATGAAACATACAACATATAAATCCATGAGATCAGTCACGTAGGCACAGATATCAGTTTGTTAAATATTCTATAGATGTTTAAACAAGTGAATACATGAAGTTTAAAAACTTAAACAACAAGGCTGACTAGCAAATCGAATTATTAATTAAATTCCTCTTTTATGGTCAGTACACTATAGCGAAATTGTAAAATTATTTTACTGTTATCGAACCTTAATGCGTATGCAAATTTTTAAGTTAATCGGACGTTTTGAAGTCAGTAAAAATAACGTTCAAAGATTTAATTACATATAAACGTGGATAAAACCAAGCTATTATAAGACATGTTTAAAAAAACCTAGAGACAAATTGTCTTACCTTTTCAATAAATTGCTTAACTGTTCTTTTTTGTTTAATTTCGACTTTGATTAATTGAGTTGAACGACCTGTGACCACTACAACGGTCATCCCATAAAAAATATATCTTCAAAGTAATACACAATAATAATATATAACAGCAGTCATAATGTTTAACTAAATTACATTTTTATTAATTGCATCCACGAATGAACCTCACGGATCAGGTTGTGCGGTTACCGAAGTCCTTTAAATCCACTTTGATAATGCCGCCACACCTCCTCACAGATCCATCAGATCCAATGACTCTTGCATTAAACGCCTTCACCAAGAGCAGGCTTAAGAACCCCGGTAACTGTACTTGTCGGACTCGGCGAAGAGTTCGGCGTGCAACCTCATTCGCGAAGCAGTTGCTCTTGAGTTATTAGGCCTCCTTTGGAGGCGCTCGGGCAGTTGTTATCAAATGCCACCCCTCCTGGCTGAGCCTTTGCTCGCACACCTGTCCTGGTGAAACTGAAAAGTCTTCAGGGCTACCAGTAATCCCTCATTAAAAAAAATCGCAACCGACTGAAAAGATCCAGCGAGAAACTCAGTGGATAGTGGTTAGCAGGCTTAGCCAATAACGAGTAATTTTTATTCAACAGTTTCTTTTATCAGCTAATTATTTTATTTTTCGCATAAAACATAGATAAATAAGCATACTAAATAACCATACTTTATTTGTTCTAATATCGAGTTAGTTTCTTAGAATAGATTGGGTTTCCTAAAGTTTTTTCCTCTATTGGTTTTTGTTGTACCTACATTGTTTTTACTGAGAATTTTAAAATTAAATTCAGAACTAAAAATATCTTTTGATATCATAAAAATCTGGTGACGTCCGATACAATAACTTGTTTTACCGTTTTGGTGTGTTTTTTTTGTAACGAATCTGGTATTGAATTAAGTAAAATTGTATTATATTCATTAAAAGGAGTATAAAAACAAACATGCTTCAGTTATTTCGAAATCTATGTTTTATTTGGTTTTTAGAATAACATAAATGTTCGTAAGGTCAAGTTTGTTCTTAATCGCTAGTCAGTTAGAAATTAATTGAAATCGCTAAGTGTACACGAAGCTCCCTAGTTATTTCTTTAGAGTTTCGAAATACTCTCGAATTACAATGGCCTGTAAAAGTTCAGATAAGCATCGGAGACTAGCCCGGAAAGCTAAACTTGTAAACATTTATCAAACATATTCATTTTCAACAAATTAGGGCATGAATTTAGAAAGAAGACGTTTATTCCGACATCACGGAGAGATTTTTAACTAATTTATTCACTAGTGAACCGCCCTCGCTTCGCTTCGGAAACATTAAATTTTATTATTGACTAGTTGAATCCCGCGATGTTACCCACGGCTATTGTCGTAACGCGGCTGACACCGCGGGGTGAAGCTATTCTAAAAAAATTAACCTAAGTTACTCCTTATATTATCAGCTACCTATCAGTGAAAGTCTTGTCAAAATCGGTCTAGCCGTTCCAGAGATTAGCCGGAACAAATAGACAGACAGACAAAAAAAAAAAAAGGTACATAAATATGTACTGTGGAATACATACTTACGCATTTAGTAAAAAGTGGTTATTTTGTTATTACAACCAGATATTTCAAATTTATTTATTTGTATAGATTTGTTACTGACAACTGTGCTGTGGCTTTCTTTATCAGCGATTAAAACCAATAGCTTTTACTAATTAGGGAACTATTAATAATGCAAATGGTGATTGATATACATGGATATTGAAAAATTACGTAATCATCTCTAAAACAGCACTCATAATTTAAAGTTACAGCAGCTTTATACGCGTATAAGTGGGCAATTAAATCTTACCAACTTCGTGCGGCAAGTGAGGCTGTCTGCAGAGCCAGTCCTTAATCGCTACCAGGTCACGGTTCTCAACCATCTCTTGATCAGGCATTCTGTAAAAAATATACTTATGAAACAGAGTACTATAGAGTTGGTGTATTATTTTTTAAAATATTTAATACCATAATAGGACCGATGACTTCACACAAGTATCGTTAAGTATTTATTGGAGCGTATACACAGCACAACGGGATCGAAGACCTTGAAATTTGAGGTCAATCCTGCTCTTCATAGTTACAATAGCATGACCACTAAGAGACAAAAAGTGAGGATGGTTTTATTTGAGTATTAAATAAGCAGAACGTCAGTAGTATATACACAATATTTCAATATTTTCCACGTCTAGTTTAATAATATGACAATGTCTTCTTAATTGCGAGATTCGATCCTCTTAGTCTAGGTTAGAAAAATGGTCAGCTTCATGATCCGAAACGCGATACAGGCGCCGTCTAATATTTTTAATTTTTTTTATAATAAACATTTTTAGTTAAATGATACAAAAGATATAAATGCAAATTAGTATCAATGCAAAAGAGATTGTAAAACACGGAAAAAACCATGTCGATTTTTGTTGCAACTCACTAGGAAGTGAATACCAGTTAAACCGTATGATTTACATACAAAAGGTCAAAATTAATATAAAAAACATTAGCCTCAATAGTGAAACTTACAGATTCTACACGAGATACAGTTTTAATCACATAACAAATATCAAGTCATTTAGCATGAAAACACGCTTCTACAATATTATAATAGAACATTTTTATTAATTGCATCCGGAAGTATAAAGTTGAAGGAACTAGACTTAATTAATGATTAAAATTAAGGTGATTTTAGAAAAAAACGATCATTATACATATTTAATAATACTGTTTTGTTGTTAATTAATTTTTTATGCACTTTGTTGTAAGCTTCGACAAAACATATTTTTGTAGCCGTTGTTGATTGTTCAAATGTAGAAAACATGTTAGCATATTAACTCAAGTGGAGTCCCTTGAGCTTACCTACCAGTCACAGCTTAGCTGGAATAGCTTCCTAGGCTCTTAGCGAATAGGTAGAGAAAAACAACTGGAAGATAATAATTATTTGGTAGACTTTATTTTTGTGAACTAGTAAATAAAATATGCAAGAGAGTAGACAGAACGCAGTGTGCTCTGCGTCGTCATTTACTCGCTATGAGGAACTCCACAATAACTCAATCTCCAGCTACAATCCAAGAAGCAAAAGTCCTGCCAAATCGACCAGCTATTCCCGTAAATTCAGTATCAGAAGTACATATTGGTATCTAAGCCGATTACAACTTCTTTTCCCGAGTCGGAATTCCGGACGAAATACTCGCGTCGCGTGCAGAGTATATGGAACTGCTGAAGGCCACTAGAACCTAACCCAGGCCCGAACAGTTCCTGTAGAGCAATACAATACAACACGCACAGACGAAAGTACTGCATTACGAATTATACGCCCACTCTGTTCGTCCTGAAGGTCTCAAGTTTTCACCTTGACCTATCCTACTGGGATTTCTTATATGTTATGGTAGATGGGGTGGCAGATGCTTTTAAGCATTATCCAGGTTATTTTGGACTTAGCAAACGAACAAGACCTTACGTCACTATGTTTCTAGAGCGCTGTTGGATTCCAGACTGAGCAATACAGGTGGGTTGGAATTTCAAAAATTTCACCACCTCGTCCCTGGCTGACGATAGCTATGACTTTTTATTGCTGTTTCTGCTCAAATAACGAATGGGTGTGATAACTAACAATTTACTTTTTAATTGATTTTTTTAAATTAATGAATATCCATAATTTAATTGCATATTGCGATTGGCTTAAAGCTTGATGCAATTGTTGGCATTTCAGGGGAGATTTTCGTCACAGTAGCCATTAGCATACAACGTGTGACTAACGAATATTTTCGACAGATAAATGTATATATTTTATTTCACAGCTGTTGAGATTCGATTGAAAAATATCATAATAATTAAAACGTTTTCTTAAAGATTGTACCTACCGTATTCGTCACGTGTATTGTCGTACGTAACAATATACCGACGACCGACCAAGTTCAGCAAAGAACTAAATTATTGCGAGTGTAGGTACCATTGCGCGAGGCCTCGTGCATGACTCGAATTAAATAATTACAAAATGTTCATGAATTTGATTAACTTTGTTTCGCGATTATGTTAGTCTCGACCTTTCCTATACGTCTTTAACTAACTTTGAGAGTAGGAGATTGCGATCGATGATATCGCATCATCATCAGCTCAGGGATGCTAACTGCTGGGTATAGGACTTATAGTTGACGGACTTGATAGAAAGTATTACTTTTTTATAGCTTAGATGGGTGGACGAGCTTGTAGCCCACCTGGTGTTAAGTGGTTACTGGAGCCTATAGACATCTACAACGTAAATGCGCCATCCAGCTTGAGATAATATAAGTTCTAAAATCTCAGTATAGTTACAACGGCTGCCGCACCCTTCAAACCGAAACGGATTACTGCTTCACGGCAGAAGTAGGCAGGATGGTGGTACCTAGCCGCGTGGACTCACAAGAGGTCCTACCACCAGTAAAAACGGCTTTAACTAAGAGCATGTTTGAGAGTAGGAGATTGCTATCGATGATATCGCATCATCATCAGCTCAGGGATACGCTGGGTACAACTGCTGGGTATAGGACTTATAGTTGAAAGTATTAACTGGCGGTCATGGTTATCTGCAATCAAAATGGACCTTTCCTATATTGCACACGCTGTGAATAAACGCCGATATAAGTACTCGTAAACGTTTTTCTGTTTCTATAAAATACTTGGAGGTTAGTTAAAAAGAGATATAATAAATATAAATATAAAAAATTTGATATACTTTAATAAATAAATATAGAAAAAAAAACAAAAGTGCTCAGTAACTAACTCGCGAGGCTTTAACGGGGTCAAGATTTGGCAAAGACTTCTTTAAAAATATATATTTACATAATCGAATATGATTTCGTTGCTACATTAAATTGTTAAATGTTAAAACACTAGACTAGACTAGACACGGTCTACGAAACAGTGAATATTTTATAGAAAAACCGCAATATTATATAAATATAAACAAAAACTGCATTCTAATTATCTGTTATTGCATTAAAGTTTTGAAATTTGAAATCACGTTTGACTTTTAAAAAGTAAACTCGTTTTTTAAAGTTGATAAAAATTAAGCTTACAATAAATCTTGTCAATGTCAAACACAGTTTTTTCTACGCCTCAGAAGCAATTATAGGACAAGTACTGTGAGAATGATAGACAATATATTATTATCTATACTAATATTATAAAGAGGAAAGATTTGTTTGTTTGTTTGTTTCGAATAGGCTCCGAAACTACTGAACCGATTTTAAAAATTCTTTCACTGTTTGGAAACTACACTATTCCCGAGTGACATAGGCTATAATCTTTTTTGAAAAAAATTAGGGATCCTTACTAAAACTCCAATAATGTAACGCAAGGTGTAAAAAAATTACCTAAAATATTCTTTACATCGCGTGCGCTGCGAAAACTATTGATCATAGAATAAAGTAATCTATACTAATATTATAAAGAGGAAAGATTTGTTTGTTTGCTTGTTATGAATAAAGTGTGACATTTAAAACCTACAATATGGGCACTGTCAAGTGTACAACAGATTTATAGCTTTGAGTTGACGTCACTGTAAATTTATTTGATTAACTGAATTGTTTACGAGATTATAAGCCGTGTTGGATTTTAGTTGAGTAGAAAAAATATTTACAGAAATAATGTGTTGCATTTGGCGAAAGTTCCATGAAAAGTAGGTGGATTGTAAAATACCGCTAATTTCGTGTGTGTGTATGCGTGTCTCTGTGTATGTAACTATCTCTATCAGATTCTAAGATCAGACGGACGTGGATACGATTGAGTTGAAAAAATCGTGATAGTTACAGTTAACGCCTTCCATTCTTCAAGACAAAAAATATACCTACTTATGTACTAAGAAAAACATAATATTCGTGTGATAGTTGTGGTGATTTTATTTTCAACGTTTTGCAACTAGTGGAAGTAATTTTTTATTGCTTACATTGCTGGACGAGTTCACAGCCCACCCGGCATTGCCGGAGCCCATAGATATCTACAGTGTAAATGCCGCCACCCACCTTTAGATATGAGTTCTAATGTCTCACTCAGTTTTTAAAGTACAACGGCTGCCCCACCCTTGCAACTGAAACGCATTACTGCTTAACGGCAGAAATAGGCAGGGTGGTGGAACCTACCCGTGCGGACTCATAAGACGTGCCAGTAAAAGTAGTCATTAAGCGTGTGCTTATTATGTGTTTTATAATTTTACTATTGAGTTAATGATTGGTTTCTCTATTGCTGTTGATAGACTGTTCACGTCCACATTGTTAATTTATTACCGGATTTCATAGAAAAGTGAATGCCGCGACCAGTTCTGTGACATAACATTTTAAGATAGCTGTCAAATCAAAACATCATTATTTCGCGGCAAAAATAGGTAAGATGAGGAAGAGTGAAAATTGATTTTAAAAACGCCCTACCTCCTGTGATAATAATGCAAATTAATAAATTTTCACGGTATTATTCTTAAATAAATTAATTCCAATTTCGTATTTACGTAAAAACAATAATTCAAGTCCATTTAAAAGGACATTAAGGCTTAGAAAATGTTGTAAGGTAAATTTTTGATAGCAAGAATACTTTTATTTTATTTTTATTTGTTCAAATAATTTATTTGAAATTATACTTCAAATGAGAGACCGAAGAAGTTCTCGATTATTGGCGTTTGCTTTTAAATCTTTTATCGAAATAAAAAACTAATATTCAATCAGGGAAAGTGTTATTACTAAATAAAAATTAAGAGCAACGTTTTAAAAAAAAGTTGTATTATGAATGTTAATTGCATTACATAACAATTGTTCCATTTAACTCTTTATTATTAAAGTATGCGTTCAGTTCATTGGGCTATTAAACATATATAACAATATAATCAGAATTAAATTTAAAAAAATAGTACAGCATTACCAACTTACGTAAATTTTTAATATCACTTCCCGGGGTTATAAACGATATATATTATTTCAAATAATATATTAATTTTAATGTTTCGAAGCGCGTTATTACTTCGGACTTTGGCGTATAACTGAATGTAGTTAATGGTCTTGCGATTCTAAGATCGACACACACGTTCGAACAGCCGAGTCGCGCCGATGCATGCCGCAACCACGCGTCCTACTTCATGGAATGGAAAAAACTAGGTGCACGCTTCGAGATTACTTGAAGAGCCCGCTGAGTTTCTCGCCGGATCTTCTCAGCGGGTCGCGATTCCGATCCGGTAGTAGATTCATTCGCGAAGCAATTGCTCTTGAGTTGTTAGGTCTCCTTCGAAGGCGCTCGGGCAGTTGTTAGCAAATCCCACCCCTCCTGGTTGAGCCTCTGCTCGCCCACCTGTCCTGGTGAAACCGGAAAGGCCTCCGGGCCACCAGTAATCTTTCAATGCAGTACTGTGAGCTCGCACGGATCGGTACCGCCACTCAGTCTAATTCTTCCGCAGCGGACATGCGTTTCGCTTTGAAGCATCGCCAGACGTTATGCTTTGGGACGCGGCGCTGGAGGAAAATTCTGCGGATCCCATCGAATGCATAACGGACCAACTCGCCAAGCTTAAAATTAAGGCTTTCTAGTATCCGCGTCGGGCGAATCCTAGAGTGCTTCGGACATATTTTCAGGAAAGACGGAGATAATTTTGTAAGGCTAGTGGTCATTGGTAACTCATCGTGGCCTAAAGGATAAGACGTCCGGAGCATTCGTGTTGAGCGATGCACCGATGTTCGAATCCAAGGCGCGTATCAGTTTTTCTAATGAAATACGTACTTGACAAATGATCACGATTGACTTCCAAGGTGAAGGAATAACATCGTGTAATATAAATCAAACCCGCAAACATTATAACTTACGTAATTACTGGGGGTAGGAACCTCTTGTGAGTCCGCACGGGTATGTACCACCACCCTGCCTATTTGTGCCGTGAAGCAGTAATGCGTTTCGGTTTGAAGGGTGGGGCAGCCGTTGTAACTATACTTGAGACCTTAGAACTTATATCTCAAGGTGTGTGGTTTACGTTGTAGATGTCTATGGGCTCCAGTAACCACTAACACCAGGTGGGCTGTGAGCTCGTACACCCATCTAAGCAATAAAAAAAAGTAGAAGAAATATGATCGTGGGGCCGCAGCCCAATGCGTTACTCTGACCAGATCAGCACCACACTTGATTCCACCAACACCAAAGCTCTCCGGATAACCGAAAACAAGATGAGATGGCACAATATGGTGAGAACGAATGTCGTGGATGGCGGTGGCCAGGACCCTCAGAGATAACGAGACTTGAAAATATGACGCAGTAACATTTTGTTGTTTTTTTCTAGTTGTCAAAGTAAGGCATCGTACATTGTTTTAAATGTATATTTACAGGTATATTTGTATTAAATTGTAATATGTATGTATTGAATGTGTGTATATAAACTTGTGTCGCATTTGTGAACTGTATTTCAGAGATAAGTTGAATCACTTTTATAACCGATCATAAAAATACGATTTCGTTTTGGACATTTGTAATTAAATGAAAACAATTTAATGATAGTTTTTGTGCATGCAGTCTGGTTTGTTAGTCGGAAAACGACTAAATACTATAAAAAAAATCTTCGTTTTAATGTAAACAGGTTCGTTTGTCTTTATAAAAAGTTCCCATGTACTTTTTGTTCTTATGTCATAATGTTCATAATAATATAACCTCGTCGTCATTGGCAAAAAGTAAACGCTATTGCCAAAAGAAGAAAAAATATATAAATAACCTCGGGTTTTTTAACGCTAGTTTTTGTGGCCATCATTTTTCGTAGAAACGAACCACAGAAGCAATTCTCTAGCTCATTGTTTTCCTACTTTTTTCATACATCTAATCTATTTATAAAATACACAAAGACAAAATAGGTGCCATTTTCTATTCTGTCTGTTTACCAATTTTCTTCTTTTCTATATGAGCTTTAGTATTTTGTTTTCAATAAATGTGTTTTTTTTTAAATTATCGTTACAAAAAAACCTAAAATAAATCTCAACGTTAAAGTATCAGTAATTATGGTCGAATTTCGATCATTCGGCGAACACTCATTTTTGTCACATTTTAAAATGCTTCATTAGCCTCCATGAGTATATGAAATACTCTTGAGAGTTTGCTTGGTACCCATCGTGTTACTAAGCGTGGTGGTCTAATTCCTAGTATGCATTCTGGCAGCCCTCATCGTTTGGCACCTGGTTGGGGTTGTACCTGGTTAGTCAGGAGATAACTACGGTTTTCCATGGTTCCCAAGGAACGTGGATCTCCATGATGACCTGGAGCTTGACTCAGTCAGTAAGTATCTACAGTCGGCATAATTGCGCCACTTTGAAAAGGCGGCATGACATGAAAGTCCTCTTGTCGTGGCCGCCGGGAATTACATTTTCGATCCTGTAGACCGAATGGTAAACAGTCGACATCGCCCTAAGCCCGTCGTTACGGATCCTCCCGATACATTAACGGTGCTTTTAGGTAGAAGCCGCGCCAATAAAGAAACGAATCGAAAATGGCGGCGGCGATCATGCGCTCTCACTCTAAACTATTGTTGTCTTTAGCGGCGCCTACTGCATGCAAAGAAAATATCAGTTCTGACTTTGTTCTCAGACGCGCTCTTTCTCCCAAATTCTGTTGTTATTTGTTCCATTTGTTCGTTATTTCGTGGTTATTTTGTTATTTATTTTACACCTCCCCCTCTACCAAAACACCAAAATAAATTCAAATTTGTTTTTTTATATTTTTTTACAATAAAAGGGCTCGACGAGTGAATTAGCCCATAGACACAGCCCACTGAGTTTCTCGTCGGATCTTTTCAGTGGGTTGCGTTTCCGATTCGGTGGTAGATTTTGCGAAGCACTGCTCTTGCTAGGGCCAGTGTTAGCAAACTCCCGGTTAGAGCCCCGTGAGCTCACATACACGTCAAGGAGAAGCTGAAATAGCCTCTCAAGGCTATCAGCATAGGGGAGGATGTTCGCTCACGTGGCTCGCACACACGTGGACATTCTTCAATTTATACAATCCCGTTTTTGTAAGTTAGCCGTCGAAGCTCCGTGGTTCGTGTGGAATGTCGACTTACACGACGACCGCCTATCGATCCGAAAACACTATTTAGTATTTATTTCTTCAGGTTTAAATGCGTAATAACGGTGGTTTATTAACTGTTTAGGATCTGTGAAAGTGCACAAATGCAGGAAAATAAAACAAAGTCACTGGACGTAACTTCTCGGGATCCTCCAAAAAGTCCACTGAAAAAGTATATATTTCATCCCATATCATCTCATCTTATTTAATTCCATTTCATGCCATGTTTGTTATTGATCAACTTAATTTCATTTCACTACAAATTAATATTTTTCGTATATATATATAAATAAAATAAAATATATGGCTGTATGGTATGACACCTTTGGCATTCCAGTTGCAAAATAAAACTACCACTTATATAGATCTCTGATCTCTTAGATCCCCTTGCCTTTCCTAACAAGGAAAAATTGAACCAAAAAAAAAAATAATTGTTTCACACTTTGGTTCCTGTCAAATAAGAAAACAAACGGCAATTTTGGGTTCATTGCATAGACCTTTATAGTAGGGACACGACATATTGTTCTATACGTACAATTGCTTATATAAATAGCACCCATTTTGAAGGCACACTCATAAACACATATCTCTCTCGTTCTTACTCAGCACTTTACCTCGCAGGAAAACAATATAACAGTATTTCAGTGCGTACATAAAATGAAACATGAATATACGTAAATATCTCCGTCTCCGTCTAATGAGGCCAAAAATCTGCCGTGTTGAGCGCACCAAATGTCATTGTCACGTCAGTTCGGCCGTCTGTTTTGGGTTGTACATTAATTATTGACTTGGATATCGATTTAATATGATTGCTTATATAAAATTTCGTAATTTATCATGCTAAGAACATACAAAAATAATAATTAAAACGTTATTTATAGGATCTCAAGAAAGTCGATGCCCCAAAATATCTATATATATTAAATTATATCTATATATATTTAAATTCATTATGGAGCCCTCATCCGAAAAATCGGACACCATTTTTCGGTCGGAATCTATTGATCATGACACTAATCATAAATTCCTCTTTAAAATATGTCATCAAAACATATTTAGACATTCTGTTTAGATATTTCGGGAAAAAGGCTACCGACAAAATCTCTTCGGAACTATTTAAATAAAATAGTTTTATTCCGCAGTGAGTAAAACACTATTGTAAATTCGTTAAATATTTAATAATTAAGTTATTTTAGAGAGGAAGTCACAAGGAATGACGTTTTTAATAATGAATAAATGTTCTGTAGGTGTTTTTTTTATCACGCGGTCCCTTGATAAGTTTAAAATTTGAATCACTCTCAAGTGAAAGTGATTCAAATGGTGCGGCGCACCTTCCTTGGGGTGCGCTGCGGTAGTGTGTTATGGACTTTAGAGTAAGCAAAACAATTAAAATAGATTGTAATAGTCTAAGAAAAACACGTACTCAAAATACGATAACATTTAGCATGCTAGAAATGGGCAGATGGCTTTGTACTACGCCATATCTTTATGTTTTGCGACAAACGACAACTTTATAAAATCAGTGTAGCAACTTTTAAAAATCATCATATCGTTTACTTGGCAAATTCGAAGGAGGAACTTGTCTTAGATTTCACCCATCTAAATCATATCACACTTGCACATAACAATATACCTACTTACTTCACATTAAAGTATAAATTCTACAAATAAATAATACTCAACAATATTTAAAATAAAATGAGCCAAGAACGTTTATCGATAAAACCTGATAACATTGAAATCTTTTGTACAGCACTAAAACCGCCATGTTTTGGGGCCAGATGACGTCACAGTGGCACGAATTTTTGGTTGACGTTTCATTTCCATAGATTTCCTACTTCAGTGGTTCATTGTTTTGTTTTCAAGTAAATTAAACGCATGTATCGTGGAATATTATATACAGGACCATGAATTACAGTTACTGATTATCATCCCAGAAGAAAAAATGTTCACAGCTCGCTTACGGCATTTGTGTCCAAGCGCTAAAATTATTGTCCGTAACCTTCGAAACAGAAAGAGGTTAGACTCGTTCGGACCAAATCCAGGTCTGGACAAGAGAATTGCGGCATTCAAACGAGACGGCTTCAAAGTTGACGACGAAGATGCTGAAGAGTATGTCGAACAATCGGAGAGTGATTTTTATAAAGTGCGTATTTATTTATTAGTTGCCAACATGTTATGCATCAGTGCAATACATTTCAAATAACTGGTACACTAATCTCGACATTAATGTTAACCCATGCCTTACGTTACGACCACATGCAGTTGGACACACATTACTTAAGTTTCCATAGGCATACTTCATTCATTCATAGATATTATATATGTTTTCATCATTTTTAGTACAAAACCATTAGTTGTAAATACCGTTACTTACCTCCCAAGATTATCCATTCTGTTTTTTAATCTGATAATTTTACATACATATAAGTAAACAAATGTTTGATAAAAGAAAACAACTTTTTAGCCGTAATACATTACAGTAATACAGTGTATGGCTAAAGCGAAGTTATAGTACATTCTTATTCAACATGAAGGTTTTTGCACACCCCTGACATTACCTTCAAATTGTTCACCCTATTTATAATATTTTTTCTTGTGCAGGTTGGTGAGGTTTACAACGAACATTTGAATGAAACATTAATGGGTAAATATGAACAACGTCATCAAATAATTAAAGAGAAGTACTTTAAACAAAATATGCCTAATTTATTGACTTGGAGCGAAAAAGAACAAATAAGACATTTGGCCACAACGCAACCAGACGAGTGGACTCCAGAAAAGTTAGCTGAAAGTTTTCCTGTTACAGTACCTGTAGTGAAAGTATGTTTTTATTGTTACATTTTATTTAAAAATAGAGAAGTTTTTAAAATTAAAAAATTATAAGAATAAAAATTTTGATTATATTTTAACAATGATTGTTAATGTTTTACAGAAATTACTCAAACATGTTTGGAAGCCAGCTACAGAACAGCGCATAGCTCGGCATGACCAATCAGTGATGAGGAATTGGAAAGAACTGAAAGAGGGAACCTTGAGCATCTCTGAAGATGTAAGAGCACATTTCCTTAAATTCTCTGAAAGAACTATTCCTCCTCTTAATAGGAACTCAGTAAAGAAAATAGATGTTACACCAGAAGAAAAAATAGGAGAATTTGAAAATATCATTAGAAGATGTGCTGCTAATGAAAATTCAGACCAAAAAACTTTTAAACAAGACTATAATGCAACTAAAGAAAATGAAGGTGAAAAAATGGAAAAAGCCCCAAGGGATTACAAAAGAGTCACACTTGAAGAACTAGCACAGAAAATTCAGACTCGCTTACAAACTGGTCAAAATGTTAATGTTCCCGATCAAATAATAGTAAACACGATTAATGACAATGCTGTATTGGAATCAAAATCAGTTAATATTAATAAAAGTATTGAAATATTTGATAACGACAATAAAAACAATTTAGTTCAGTATCAACCAAAAAATGATTCAAAAGATGTAATGGATTATCCAGAAAGAATTCGAATACCAAAAAAAGCTTACAAAAAAAATGCTACATATAAAGTTAATGATTGCTATTATGATCACGATGGAAGATTTCTGTATAGAGTACTAGGAATGACTAGGTAAAAATAAATTAAAAGATTAAATAAAACAATTTTGAATGAAGCCTTATTTATTTTTTTATAAAAAAATTATATGCCTTTCATATCATGTCAAAAAAATAACACAAGTTCACAAATATTTCATGAATGAAGACCCAATGGCTCTACAATTCATTATCCATCAGTTATTATTGTACACTTGACAAAATAAATTTTATGGTTGTAATTGTACATTTTTGTACATGCCTAAATTTGCTGGCGAATAATATATTATTAACCACTTTTTAAGTGGCATAAAGTCATATTGTATGTACACGTTTTTAGGAATTTAATTAAAAACAATACAGTCACAATAACTAGTGGCATGTATCCACTATTTATATGTGATCAATTATTATGTTAGTTTATTAATATTGTGATTCAACTTTTCTAAAGACTTAGTTATTTGAGTATTGATTTGACTTTGGAGGAACATGAACCTATTTCTCATTCTCTGTTATCTTTTTCGGTAACTATAACATATGGCAGCAAGATTATTAAAAGCCAATTCCAACAATACACAGGAATTTCTAACACTCATTTAACAATTCTGTGCAAAATACAGTTTCAATACATTTAATTCAATAGATTTTTAAATTATTGCAGTTTAATCAATACTTTTCAAATTTGGCTGCCGAAAAACATGTTGATTTGGTAAAAATATTATTTGAATACATAAGATGCTATACCAATATCAACCAGTTTCAAGACGAATACTTATCATTGACTCATATCAAGCACTACTTGTACACCTCAGCATGACCATTAACCTCTATACAGAATATACACGTTTTTAAATACTACAATCCGAACCTATCATTAGCACCCACAATCGTTAATGGATATGCCAAAATAAATTGATCCGTTGTTTTTTAATTGGGGCAATGTTCATGAAACTTAGGCCATACATTAATTATCACTTTGATTTTACATGCTAATCAAATTATTTTTGTACCATCCAAATACTTTGTTCCCAGTCGATTGGACGGGCAAGCAATGATTGTTATGTAAATAATCGTCCGCAATAATATGGACGGTATTATTCGATTTATATAGCAAATATTGAAAAAATAAATTAATTTTTCACAAGAAAAAATGAAAAGAATAAGAATCAATAATAATGAAAACTAGATTAAAAGTTTGACACAATATTATTTCATGTATCATGCAAAATATTATTGCAGTAACAAACAGTTCAAGATTTTGTTATATGTAATTGATTTTATATACAATCAAAAATTTTTCATCAATATATAAATACAGGAAACGGTTAAAGATCCTAGAACATAAATTATTCCATTCGTCGCATGCCTACAAACCACTATACGAAATGTGACTGAATTATTGCGTCAAAATTACGTATCGAACAAATTTCATTTTCAAAAAGGTTATATACTTTGCGTTCACAGGTTTCCGTACAATGAAACCCTAGTCTAGAAATTAAAGCGAATACAATATTGCTGTCGTTTTTAAACACTAGAACCGGGCGTCGACATGAAAATGGCTACGAAACACTTCGAAATATGCTTATCCTTACTATTCGTTATATACTGTATTTTGTTTTAACGTAACAACCACATTTTCATCGAGTTTTTCGATTCGCCATTCTCTAGTGATCGCCCCCCCCCCCCCCCCACCTCCATCCACAACTCACGTTAGCTTAGCCAATTATGAAATCTTTATGACATAAGCTCAATTTTTATATTGCTGTAAGTTCTCGATCAATATGATATTACGTGATTACTAGGGTTGATAAATGAAAAATAGTCGATGTTACGTTATTCGATGTACCCACTATAGACGCTATCATACGAACATTGTTTCCATGAACGTGAGCGAAGTGTTTATTGCGAGTAACGCCCGGTCTGCAAGCCGTATTTATCTGCGAGTGCTGTGGACGGTGGTTGACAGTCACTCGTCGAGTAACAGCCGCAGCCGTTTGAAGTAGTGCCTGCAGCAGAGCGCCGTGGGCGAGGGCGGCAGGTCCTGGGGCCTCGCCTCCCGGCCGAGCTGGTCGAGGGCCCGCGTGTACTCGCGCTGCAGGGCGATGAAGTCGATGTTCTGCTCTCCAAGCGCAGCCATAGCCAAGAAGAGGATGTCTCTGGAAATTGTGTGATTAACAATTTAAGGTTCATGTTTTAATTATCAATTTCAAAATATCTGTAGTAAATATTTATTTTCACTTTTATTAATCTATTAACAAGGGCTTTCTTTATATTCTCTATAAGTGTCTGAAATTATATACTCCTCCGTCCGCGCAATTTTCATAAATAGGTACAAAATTTTTGCTTCTGGATTTTGGATTTTAAACAAAAATGTTCCAGTTTTTTAAGGGGTAGTCTAAACTGGCGATATAATATGTGAAGAAAAAGCAATTGAATGAAGCACAAATCAATTGTTATTTAGACGATTATGATTTACAGCGATCACATGACATTGCCATAATGTATCGCTTTAAATGTAAACAAAACCCACCTGTAGAAGGAGTAGTATCGTTTGTTCTCGTTCGTGTTCTCCCGCCACTCGGCCAGCTTCCTCAACGCGTCCGCCAGGTTGTTGCTCAGTAGCCCGTTCAGTACGGCCAGCGCCACTCTATTGGTGCAAAGTTTATTTAAATATAATTTGGAAAAAAAAACCATTAGTTGGGTATTCAATTTTTTTTTGTATATTTGAGATGTTAATATTATATTATGAATGTTTTATTCGTTTGCTCGATTGCACGTTTCACCTAGTTATTGACGTGATGATCTCTTATAAATTGATCAACACCGGCTGCACGCATGAAAAAGTGTCACGTTTCAGCGTCAGCGCGCAATCGAGAGCACGGAACAAGCGATAGAGAGGCACGATCGGCCAAAGCGTTGGCTTGTGACACATTTATCTCTCTTCTCGCGAGACGTCAGAGCTAGCGATTCGAATAGGTCTGCTACTGACGTTATCACGTACTGTCGTCCGTAAACGAAGTTTACAGACAATCAATATTATTTTATTGCCGTGGTGCATAGAATACTTCGTGGTCGCCCCTTGCTTTGAGGCTGTATGTATTTAGGTTCGTCTGATGCGGCGTGGGGTGTGTGTACGTACGCGTGTGCGGCGGCGTCGTGCTGCGTGAGGAGCAGGGCCTGCAGCGCGCGCGAGTGTGCGCGGTGCGTGCGGCGGCGGCGCCACGCGCGGTGCAGCGCGCCCGCCCCCGCGCCCCCCTCCGCCTCGCCGCCGCGCTCCCAGCCGCACTCCACCACGCGCTCTGCGGACACAATTGCTTAGGTCAGGGCCCTGAAACTGCAATACTTTAAAGACAAATATTTTTTCTGTATGGAAACTAGTGACATCTTGTAGCGGATGCCCCTAAAGTTAAGGCATTTAATTATTGTATAACTAAACAGAAAATAAAAAAATTATAAATCATACAAGTCTTCATTTGTTCACAGTAAAATATATTACTACTCACCAGACTTGTCGGCTTCAGACAAGTTGTCCGAACTTTGGTATTTCGCTTGGAAATTCGGACACAACAAATCGGGCAGATGACTTTCGATGTTCGCTCGTTCCAGGAACCATACTAAATTCCAATACACTATCGGATGGGATTCGACAAATTCGGATTCGATAAGACAGGAATCGCCTTCTCTACCTGTTCGAAATTATTGAAATCTATAAGTATTTTCTTGTCGGAGCGTCTATTTTAATACGCTTTTATTAGCTTCAGACGTATGTATGTTAGTATATAACGGAATATTTGAACATGATTTTGACCCCCTTCAAAACGTCTGATTAACTCGAAAGGGCAATGCCCATATTAGTATGGAGCTGAAAGTCAAAATGCCCTGCAATGCCCAAATTGCAGCTCTATGCCATATGATAGCTTTTTAACAGTATTTATATGATATCTAGATTTAATGTCATATAAAGCACAGGTTCAAAAGATGTTGGACATTAAACATGGTAACTTCCTACTGATTTTTTATACATTTTATCGCTTACAGACAACATTGCTATTAGTTTTTCTCTAGGAACTTCATGATCATCACATAAGCTAAGCCAAATCAGTGTTCTTTTAAATACTTATCTGTATGCTATCAAATAAACATGTGAGTTATTTGGAAATATCTAGTCTGTCTCCTTTTCCAGACCATAATAAATAAAGCATGAATTAATGATTAAAAAAACAATTATACGTACTGCAATGTCAACAAGAAGTCTTATTTTTTTAAATTTTTTATCCCGGCTTCATATGATTTAAAATTAACAACATAATTGTAGTTTTTATTTATTAGAGCAATTTTGTAATATATTTTTACTGGGCATTTCTGGGGCACAAATGGGCATTGTCCTTTGGTATACTAATTAAGGATCGATGACAAATCAATATTTAAAAAAAAATATGTAAAAATTGGTATTCAACTAAAAAATGAAAAATAAATAATAGTTTAAAAAAACTAAAAAAATACGCTTTTATAGAAAAACCAACTAAAAATTGGAAAGGAAATTTTAATAAATTTGAATTAAAAATAGTGTAAGAAAAAATATTTTATTGTAAAAAAAAGCGTGGGGTGCTTTTTCAGGATATTATCAAAATAACCCTTCTACTCATATCTGTTCATAAAATATTTATAACTACTAATACCATGTTTTGTTTTTTAAAACTATTATGTTTATTTTTAATAAAGTTACGTAAACTATTACGAAAAATTTAAAGAACATTTGGATTAATTCGAATCTTACCTAATACAGATTCAAATTCTTTCCTCAGGACCAGAGGATTTAAATAAGGCACAGTCAGAGTTTCCGTTTGCGTTTGTCCTGTACGCATTATCTATAATATAAAAAAAACAACAGATGTATAAAAAATTGAAACGTGAAAACAGTACATAAATTACTCAAAATATTCAAAATTCACAAGAAACAGCACGACGAAAAATGATTTATATTAGCCATCTTCAATTTTTAAAGGGAAGTCGCGCGTTTGTCTTTGAATAATCGTCGCGAACTTGTATGAATCCTTGATTTAGTCATAAATAAAT